GGAGGGAGGGAGGGAGGGAGGGAAGGGAAGGGAAGGGGAAGGCAGGCAGGCAGGCAGGCAGGCAGGCAAGTACTTATTTTGTTTGTTTCTTGCTTCAGTAATCAATTAGATTTTCAGAACATGGTGCAAAATAACACATTTTTTAAAGAGCATGCTTTCTTTTATTAAGGATGCAGCCCCCTCTAGTGGCAGATAGCTTATCTTTCCTGGCTGAGAAGTTAATTAAAAAGCTGCAAACGTCGTCGGCCCCTTATACACTTTCTCTTGAATTGCCCTTTTTTATTTTTCAGTTTCTTCCTGTTCATGTCCCATCCGAGGCAGAAAAGAAAGACCCGGTCCTTTTCGCCAACAGAGTCCGTAACAAAATGGCAAGGTCAGTGTTCGTGGGGGAATATTTCTTTATCTGCAACGGAGATGCGTGCACAGGCTGCTTCGTCTTGGCTGAAAAAATCTAGAGGCACACCAGGGGGGTGGAAAGATTTTATTTTTGCAGCCTGGATCTGGTAACTTTAACACAGACACTCACCCCACCCTCCTTCCTTCGTTCCTCCCTCCCTTCCCTCCTTCCCTCCCTGCCTCCCTCCCTCATTTGCCACGTGCATACAAAGCATTTTTAGATTATGGGAAATGATGACTCAATGGACTTTGTTTTCCCTTTGTTTCCAGAGAGAATTTTTTCTCCTACTGTCCAAACACTAAGATCAGTGGTCATCCAGCAAAGCTCACTGGGGGGAGATTTAGAACAAAAGTACTCCTTCACCTATCCTCTAATTAATCTCTGGAACTCTTTACCACAAGATACAGTGATGGCCAGGAACTTGTGTGGTTTTAAAAGGGAGAGGGTACATTCATAGAGAGCAGGTATTAATGTGAGATTCAGTGTTGCCTGAGGTTGAGGAACCCTGAGTTAGAGAACAGCGGCAGGAAGGGGATTGTCACCATGTCCTGCTCAGGAGCATCCTGGAGGCCTCTGGTGGGCCTTGGTGAACAACAAAACATTGGAGTGGGATGAGCCTGGACTCATCAATTATTTTTATTTGCTTAGAGGCGAGCTATTTCTTGCAAAGACCAAAGTAATGACTTCATTTAGTGCATCTTTGGTAGTCTTTTCCTTGCAGTTTCTATGCTCTCGTTATTAAACATGCTTTTTATTTGGATGCTGTCAAAATCGTCCCAGATGCAGTTCTCCAGCAGTAGCTCCATTTTCTCCTCCTCCCTTCAGGCTGGCTAGGGCAACTGCCTCCTGGAGTAAAGCAACCTCGGGGCAGCTGTGCAGCATCTTTGCCCGTGGCTTGAAACAGCCCCTGGTGTGTTTAGTGCTGAATTCATTTTGTGTGCGTGTCTTTTCATCGCAGCGCTTTGGACGTGCCCGTCACAGATCACACTTACGAGGATTGTCGGCTCATGATTTCGGCGGGGCAGTTAACTCTCCCCATGGAAGCTGGTTTGGTCGAATTCACAAAGATCAGCAAGAAATTGAAGTAAGCGGGGCTCTGAGGCTTTTTCTGTTTCTCCTACTAGATCAGCCCAAAGAGAATTCTGAGCTGGTTGTACTAAATGCAAGTGTGAAAGGTGCAAGTGCAAAAAAAGTTCAGGAGGCTTCAGTAGGGCAGATGCACGCGGTTGCACGCTGCCTTCTCCTTAAGGTCTCCTTAGCTCAAATAAGTATTCCCCTGAGCTTGTTTGGCATGAGAAAAGGGACAACTCCTTTCGGTAACTACTGGCAAATGGAGGAAGACGGCCCACACAAGCACCAGAACTTCGTTGCAGGCTTCAGATAACAATAGTGCACATCTTGTCATTGTTCAACATCTGGAGGACTAGAACTGGATGTTCCCTGCAGATGTCCTAGGAACTTTCTGCGTGGAGGGACCCTAGGAAAAGCTGATGGTCATGCATCTCAGGCCTGGGATTTGGTTTCTGGCATTCACTGTTTAAAGGTGAACTTTCTCTGGCTATAAATAGAAATCAGTGACCTTGCAGCTCTCGGGAAACATGAGTAAGGTGGAGAGAAGACTCCTAGGCAGACTCAGTTGGACTTCTTAGAGCAGTGTTGCTCAACCTTGGTGGCTTGAAGATGTGTGGACTTGTAGACCATGCTGGATGGGGAATTCTGGGAGTTGAAGTCCACACATCTTCAAGCCACCAAGGTTGAGCAACACTGTCTTAGAGGGTGTTGAAGGCGTTCTTCCCAAATGGTTGCATGGCCATCAAATAGCTTCCAGTAGGTGTGGCCAGATACAGTGCCCATTCCCAGAAGGCAGGTGGTCACTTGAGTCCCCAAGGAAGTTTCTTCACACCCCCTTTATGTCCTTTCCCCCCCCCCCCATGCAAGTGGGTACAAAGCTTTGGACTGCAGTTATCCACTTTATTTTTGATTTTTGCTCTGCCATCTCTTCCCGTTTCTTTCAATGCCAGTGGGGCTTCTGTGGGATCCAGAAGGATTTTTGGAGGCTGGGATGAGGCTGAAGACCAACACATGGCTTTCCAGTAGGCCAGATTCCTATTTAAAAGAAAGAAAGAACCCTAAACATGTTAAGATCCAATAAGACAGGGAGTCTGGCTAATGTTAAGAGTGGATTTCCAGGCACAACAGTTGCAAAGGCACTGAATTGCACCCTTTGGGAAAAAAATCTATGTATCATATATATCTGGTCAGAAGCTTCCTTCTTCTTCCACCTTGCCCGTTCATGCCTGGAACCCATAAAGAGACTCAACTGTGTCTCATTGTGACAACCCTTGGACCAGGTCTCCTGATGTGCCGATCCATCATGTAAACCTTTGTTGCTTCCCAATTAGCTAACTGCTTGGCTTCAAGCCCTGAGTTCCCCTTGAAAAGTGGTAGCTGCTAATTTCACCCCTTCTCTCCCTCCTTTGGGTAGTCTCAAATGGGACAACATCCGTGAGCAGCTGGATCAATTTGCCACGATTGCTTGCATGTCCAAAGGTGGCCGGATTGGGATCGAGGAGTTTGCTAACTATCTGAAGCTGCCCGTCTCAGATGTCCTCCAAGAGCTGTTTACTCTCTTTGACAGAGTAAGTATTGTATTTGTTCCCCCAAGAACGAATAAACCAAGAACTGTAGTGCTTGCAGAAATGAAGCTTGTGACTTCGACATCTCCATAGCCAGAAAAAGAGAGAGAGAGAGAGAGAGAGAAAGTGCTTGTGTGTGTATAAAGAAAAGAGAATGTTAACGTGTAATATAAAGCAGATCAGAGGCACTGGGTTGGGGGTGGGGGCTAGGATTCATAGAGGAAGAGCCAACAAAGAGAAAAGATTTGAGAGGGAAGCAAGATCTGGGCTGCTTGAAAAGACTTCCCAGTTCCAAGTTTGCAAAAGGAAAATTCCACCCTCGCTCGGCTTGGGCGAGGCCTTGTGTGTGCCCACAATAGATTCCAGCTGTGGAAAATGACGTGTGCGGACATGAAGGACTGCAATTTCCTTTGGCAGCAAATCTGTTCTTGCAGAGCACGCCCAGCTCTGCTCTCTTCAAACACACTCGGAGCTTCTGAAAGACGCTGCAGGTTCTGGGGTTCTCCATGTTTCTTGCTCAAGCTTTACTAGATGCCGCCACCGGTGGTGGTGGTGGTGGAGGAGGCGGAGGCGGAGGAGGAGGAGGAGGAGGAGGTGGTGGTGCTGGAGCAGCTCTCCTGAAGACCTTGGGAGGTGGTGGGGGTACTGGAGGTGCCCTGATACGAGGCCTTGGTGGACTCCTGACAGGAGGAGGAGGAGGAGGTAGTGGTGGTGGTGGAGGAGGAGGAGGAGGAGGAAGAAGTGGTGGTGGCAGCAGTGGCGGCAGCAAAGCCAGCAACGTTATGGGGCTTCTTGGAGGGCTTGTGAATATCATCAGCGAAGCAGCAGCTCAGTACAAACCAGAGCCCCCTCCAGCCCCCCGCAGCCATTTTGCCAATGTGGAAGCCAACGAAAGCGAGGAGATGCGCCAGTTTCGACGACTCTTTGCCCAACTGGCTGGTGATGATATGGAAGTGTGTCCCACTGAGCTGATGAATATCCTCAACAAGGTGATGGCCCGGCATCAGGACCTGCAGTCCGAAGGCTTTAGCCTGGACACTTGCCGAAGCATGGTGGCCGTCATGGACAGCGACGCCACGGGCAAGCTGGACTTCTATCAGTTCCGGTATCTGTGGAGCAACATCAAGAAATGGCAGTGTGCCTTCAAGCAGCACACCGGCTCGGCGGGGAGAATCGAGATGGGGAATCTGCCTGCCGCTTTCAAGGCCGCGGGGTTTAATCTCCACGAGCAGCTCTACGCCCTGATGATCCGCCGCTACGCCGACGAAGACGGCAGCATGGACTTCAACAACTTCATCAGCTGCCTGGTCCGCCTGGATGGAATGTTCCGTGCCTTCAAATCTCTGGACCGGGCCGGGGATGGAAAAGTCCAGATGAACATTGAAGAGTGGCTACAGCTGACCATGTACTCTTAAGACAGCAAGTGGTGGGAAGAGGAAACCGGTGGTGTGCTCCGCCTTGGACCATCTCTCCTACCATATAGGGGGTTTGGGGGAGGAGGGATAGCTGAGAAGTAAAATTACTTCTGCCAACCCTCAAAATAAACCTTCCTGCTTACAGCAAGTGCCTTTGGGTTGACAGCACCTTTGGGATATGGAGGTTCGCCAGTGCATGCATTTTGTGGGAATGCTTGCTGATTGCTTGAAGAAAGCTTACATTTTTGCTACGTTTTGTTTTTCGCTTGCCTGAATTGTACAATAGTCTAAGGTTGCAAGCTCATGTTAGGAATGTTGGAAGCACATTGGAAGCTGTGGATTATTTCATAGGAAGCTAGGGGAGAAAACCCAGTATTTTGTGGCACAACAAAATGTATTCTGCTCTCCTTAGGTTAATGCCTACATTGTGCAACGAAAGGAAGCAACTGTTATTATTCATTATCCTAAATTCTGCCCCTCTCTGCTTCAGCAGACCATGTTTTGCTCTCCTTTCCTTACTTCATCTCCAATGTTGCTTTCATCTTCTCCCCCTAAATTGACATTTTGGCATTCTAAGCCCTGAATACTCACCGCTCCTGTTAAGCTAGTTATTCTTGTTCTTTTTAAAGTCTAATCTGCTTTAATTTACAGATGTGTCTGTTGTTGAACATATCTGGAATTCCAGTTATTCCAGGAGCTCTGTGGTCTTCTTCTCATGGAAGGGCACTCAGGATCCTAAACTCATTCTTGAAGGAATAAGATTAGGTTCTCCCAACCTATTGCCCTCCAGATATGTGTATCTGTTGCCATCATACTCAGCAGTGGTCACTTGGGGTGATGGAAATAGTGATCTGGGAGATTTGGAAACCAACTAGTTGTGGAAGGGTGGAAACGCAGCCAGAGGGAAATTATATCTACAACTTCTGGTTTAGCATTTTTTCATTGCTTTTGCTGAGAGCTGGTTTGAGGCAGAAAGGAATAATGACAAAAATAGATCTTTTTCTGACTAGTTCTCAAACATCTGTCGGTTGTAAAGAAGAGAAAATAAACTTGGATCATAACGAAAGGGGGATACTGCTAATTGTTTGATTGTTTTGTAGGCTGTTTTGGCAAGGGTGGCAGCAACAACATACTTTGCATTGTGGAATGCCATTCCTTTCTTTTGTGTGGTTGTCAATCTTGAGCCATGAGCATTTGCTGCAGGTGGAAAAATGAGCCCCTGGACTAAAACCTATCACTAGATTATTTGTTTTTGACCTGGACAACCACTTCAGACGTGGCTGTCCTTGTTGTGACCTGAACTGGCCGAAAGATGACACCTCTACCTCCTCTGGGACACATCCCAGTCTTGCCCTGAGTGGATCTTGTAGACCTCCAAAATGTGCTTGTTCCTTCTCCCTGATTTTGACTGGCTTTGTGCCTCATACTGGTTTTGTTTGGGGCTTTACCCACTGTGGCTGAGCGTTTTGTGTGAAGTGGCCTTGATGGTTTCTTGATCCAACTCTAGTTGGAAAAGTTCTAGTTGAAATGATATGAGAGCCAGCATCTCCGAGCCAGCTCAGAGGAAGAGGTCATCGTCTCATTGCTTGCTCCATGTCAGTTGTTGCAGCTCTGTCCTGTCCTTGGCCAAAAGTCTCAAAGGATCATTTGCTGTTCCATAGAAGTTCCTTGCCTCAGGTTCCTTAAGGAAGAAGTTCCTTAAGGAACCCAACTGGGCAACTTTCTAAATTGTGGACAGCCAGATTCTGCAACTGCAGGCCTTGTTAAGACTCTGAGTGCCCAGGATTTTTTTAAAACCTCCTCCTCATCTCCTTGTTCTCCCTATATCCTATGACCATGTCATTCTCTCTGCCCATTGAAGTCATACATACATATATACATATCTTTACTCCGGTCACTGGCCAGAGTATAGCAGTCATCAGCGGATGGACCAAAATAAAGCAGTTTGGTTCTAGATCATGGATGCGATCAAAGTGGGTTTGGTTTTAATAAAATTTAAACAGTCTACCAAAATTTGCCCACATGCATGGAAAAGGAATCATACTGGACAATAACAGCTATATAGAGAATAAATTGGAATTGTCTGGGTTCTTTATTTAATGAGGAGTAAGAAGATTAAGCCCTTGCATCCTTATAGAAAATACAATGTTTTGATTGACCCTTCCGCACTTGGACAGGACCTTAGTTCCTATGGAATTGTTTTGTAACTGCCCTCAAGAACTGCCATAGGGGGTGCATTACAGCTTGCCCAGGTTAGTGTCCTCCAGAATTTAGGGACAGTGATATGGGGTGGACATTTTGGCGGCCTAAAGAAAGGGACTCGGCTGCCCTGAAAAATGTTCCTGGGTAGGGCAGATGGATCCAGTTGGGCTTCTAAATCTCAGGCCCATTGCTTGAGTGCAATGAGTGCTCATTCATAGTCTGCCATTAGAAAGGTGTCCCTAAGGACCATTGAAATCAATGGCGCAGCACCCAAGAGTGTCTGAAGAAACCCAGTCTGTTGAAATAGCTCTTTGGGTTCTATTTTAACTGATCATTTTTTCTCCTGCCTTAAATGTTTGATCTGATGGTGTCGAATGTTGACCCTGATGTTGGTTTGGGCCATTTGTGTTTCTCAGGAGAATTCCATCCTTTTAAAAGAAAAAGAAAAAAAAAAAGGATAATTTTATAGGGGTGGGGCAACCAGGGGGGGAGATAAAGATTCACCCAGTGAATTTGCTGCAAATGTATTTGCACATTTAGAGGGATAGTTTGGCCAAAGAATAAGTTCAACCTTTCTTTGCCGTGTTTCCAGTGCAGTTCTTTATTGGGGGGGGAAAAATATCAAATACTACTTTATTTTTAATTGCTCCTCCCTGCTCGAACTACAGAAATGCACACACATTTTTCTTCTCTCTCTCTCTTTTCTGCATACGCCTTTGCAAGCAAAACAATGTCTCCCTTGAGTCAAGCTGTACTCTCAATCATTTTACGGGCTGGTTTCTTGGCAACAAGAGGAAGGTGCCTCCCATTGCTTTCAGCTAAGAGGCTTTCTAACTACTCTCGCTTGCAGTTCTGAGTCTTCTGAGTGGTGTCCTATCCAAGTAATAACCAGGACTGACCTTGCCTTAGCTTCTTGGGATCAGCCGTGGTCAGCCAGGTGCCTCTGTCTGCTGCGTCAGAAGAGCTGCAGCTGATCTGCGTAGGCCAAAATAAACATTGCAAGCCAACGTACACAGCAAAGCTTTGGAGAAGAAGGAATGTCACACGGAGCAGAGAAAGTGGGTGGATGGGAATCCTGAACCAGCTGCTTCCTTTCCAAAGGAGAGTCGAGTGTTTGGCCTTTCAGATTAACGGACATCAAAACCCACTAGTTTCCTGGAGACCTTTTTTTGAAGAAACATCTTGACGGCTTTCTGAATGTTCGTCCTAGCAATATAAACATTTGCCGCTACCTCTTTTCCGTTCCAGAGACTTTGGGCATTTTGTATTTGTTTTCAACCGGGTCTTTGCCTCTATTCAAAGCAAAACGCTCTTGATTTGGAGTTTAAAGAGAAACAGAGGTTCCCTGGCAGCTAAGGTGGGCATCTGGGGCTCCCTTTCTGTAACGTCTTTGCAGGTCCAGGGAAGTGAGACATGCTCATAAACTCTGGATGTTTGTGAAAATGGACTTGGGGTCAATTTAAGTTTGAGGAGGGGGCTTCAGACAGATGCCCCCCCCCCAGGAGTTTCTAAGCTTACTGCTCTCCTGTTTATCAAGTGTGCAGGGCCATTCCCAGGCAAAGGCCTGGCAATTAAGCAGAAGGTTGGGGGGGCTTTCCTCCCTGCCTGCTGTTTTATATAATGGATTGGAATTGCAAACAGGAAGGAAAGGAGGATCTGGGAGGTGTCCAGTCTACATTTTGCCTCGGCAAGATCCACTCGCTTACCAGGAACCTTGTAAGAAGATTTCAGTTTGGTATTTTTGTTGGCATTCTGCAGTTGGGTTCAGAAAAGGAACTGAATCAAACAAAAATCCGGGCCTGTGTTGCTGGAAAAGTTAACGAAACTTTATTTTTGTTAAAGCAAAGGTACTCCTTGCTCTTTGCTCCTCCCCCCCCCTCCCCCAGCAGAAGTGATTCTTCCTGCATTCAAGAGGAAAAATAAAAGTTTTCATGCGCAGCATTCCATTCTCCTTTGCTAGGGCTTAAGGATTGGAATGTAACCCGTCTCCCTCAGGCTGGTCTGCAAGTATGTGAGCTTAACCCTCTCAATGCTGCAGCTGACACCCTGGAACAGGGTGCAATCTTTTGGGCAGGAATGCAAAGCCAGGAGGGTTTTGAAATGGTGCCACCCTGGAGTGAAATGCTGTCCAAAATCCACAATGTCAGATGTCTTCTGCAAAGTATTCCAATCTAATATTAAGAGGCTGGGGAAGACAACAAGGAGAGAAGGCTGGGCTAGCAATGCAAACCAGTGCATTTCTTGGTTTATTTTATGGGCAGAGCATCTATATCTGCCGGGGTTTTAGAAAGCAAGGATTTCAAGATAGATCCCACAGATTTGGAACAGAATGAGAAAGGTAACTGGACTTGGACCAGAAGAGCCATATTCAAGTCTCCACATGAAGCCAACAGTAGAGGTTTACTCGATAACTTCAGGGTCTTATTTCCCTCGAGCAAAACTTTCTAGGATTGTGGTTTGGGGAATAAAAAGGAGGATGCCTCTAATGTTGGCTTCCTTTTGCTTTCAAATGAGCAATATTACATTGTGCAGAGAAAAGAACTGGCCAGTTAAAAGGTGCTGTTGAAAGTTGGCTTAAAAGACAATTGTTGGCAAGTTTTAACATGCTTGGATGTTTAAATTTGATTCCTGGCTAGTTCCTCAAATATTGTGAAGTGCAGGGACTCTCCATTGCTGAGATACATCTAGGAAGAAAAGTTGCTTTCTTGTTGGAATGGGTGTTTTGAAGGGCACCAACCCAATGGCTGTGGGAAAAAGGCATCGTTGTTGACTTTATTCAACATGCAGATATTATGATTGGATGTTCAGTTGAATAACATCCAAATTTGGTTGGTCGGGGTGCCAATTCCTCAACTTTGGTCCAAAGAGGAAACTGTTGGGAACTTGCCATGGGAATTTAGTCATACTCATTGGGGAGACAGGTCAGATGACTTTTTCCTGCGCCCTATAAAATCTCTTGATTCAGACAGTAGGTCGGAATAAGAATCAACCACTGAATAAGAATCAACTACTTATTCAAGTAAGTTTGAATAGTCAGGTGTCAAGTCTCTGTTGCAGTTCCAGGAGTCAAGGTAAATAGTGGAGCCATTTAAAGAAGCTGGAAACCTTTAGCCAACTAAAAATAGTACAACAGAAGAAATAAAAGTCGACAAGCCAGGATGCGATAGGATCTGAGTGCAGAGAGTTATTTGTGGGAGGTGTGTACAGACCTCACACCTGTAGAAATCTACATCAGCATCACTGAGCAACTTTAACAAAACTTGCTGTTGCCCTGTGTTTCTTTCAGAATGGGGATGGTACCATAGACTTCCGAGAATACGTGATTGGCTTATCAGTCCTATGTAATCCTGCCAACACAGAGCAGACGATTCAAATGGCATTTCAGGTAAATCCTCCGACTGAGGAGCTCAGGTGCAGCACAGGCCTGCAATTCTAGGTAGAGCATTTCTGTGGGTGCAGAGATTCTGTGCAGAGCTCAGGTACCAGTCATAAGATGCCATCAGACTTTTTCTGATCTCTGGGAGGAATGTCATGATTTGGGGTGGCATTAGCTGTTCTTCTGAAAGGGGGATTATTTGGCTCTGAAGTCATGAGCAGTTCATATCAGAGAAGGTAATCCTTGTGGGATCCAAGTCTTCCACCACCCCAAAATGAAGAGCAGAACCTTTGAAAGGGGTAGATGGAATTCCATCATGGCTTTAAAAGAAATCCGGGGAGCTCTCCATCTGGGGAGTTCTCTAAGATTTCGAGATGTGTCAAAGCTGAGCGTTATCCTCCTTGCCAACAGATCAGTCAATCCCTCTTTGTTTTCAGCTTTTCGACATTGATGAAGATGGCAGCATAACAGAAGATGAATTTGCCCTAATTATCCGTTCATCGCTAGGGCTTCCTGACCTTGATGTTTCAAACCTCTTCAAGGAGATTGATGCTGACAACTCTAACAAACTTTCGTACGGTAAGGTAGCCAAGCGGGAATTAAGGAAACCAAGATTCAGGGATACAGCTGGGAGGAGACTTTGGGGCATGATGTAATGGTATGTGGGAAAGACCTTGGGAGACTGGGCAAAGAGACGCTGCCAAGGGAACGGTCAGATAAGGGACAGCATATCCCACAGCTGGATAATGGGCGAGGCAAGAGGCTCAGAAGAGACCCTCTCTCGTTTCTTGGGCGGTAAAGGAGACAGTGGGAGATTTGTACTTTCACCCTTGCAAGATTAAGTCACTGTAGCTTACAATAAAGTAGAATTAGCTCATCCAGTTGTGCCTCCTATCTGGTTTACCCCATGCAGCCAACACATAAGTTGCCTTCTCCTGGTTTAGTGTGACCTCAGACCAGTCCCCGTGTTTGAAATAATGTTATTCATTCCTTTATTTTTAGAAGAGTTCAAGGATTTTGCTGAGAAACATCCCGAATACGCCAAGCTGTTTACAACGTATCTTGAGCTACAACGCTGCCAGCTGTTTACAGAGGCAGACTTCAGTTCTGGCGAGGGCTTGCCCACAACCCCAAGTTGTCTATCTTCTTTTGAAACAACTCCAATGCCAAGGAACAAAGTCTGTCCTCTAATAACCGAAGAGGAACATTCAAATATTTCAGATAAAAAAGAAGACTGAATCTAAAAAGCTTAATATATATTAATTTAATCTGCAGAAGGATACATTTTATTAAATCCAAATCTTTGGGGGATTTTTTTAACCATACAGAGTAAAGCAAAACCTTGCTTTTGGAACTTATGCTTCCATGTATGTCAAGAACTATTTTTCAGTAAATAAATCTGGGGAAAGGGGGTTGCTGTTTGTATTGCATTAACGGTGATTCTGTTGCAGAAGAAGAGTTTACGCTGAGATGAAATTGGAGGAGGAAAACCGTGCTACTCCTCACTTCCCCAAAATCAGAAAGGGTCTGGCAGCACCTTTTCTAACACATTTCATTCAAAAGCATCAACGTTTGTGAGCTGCTTTTGAACAACATTTGTTCGAAAACATTTTGCAAGCCCCATTTTCTCCGCCTTCAGCTGAATTCGATTCCTGTGCAATTTTCTCAGCAGTGTTACTCAAGGGAGTTGGTGCCTCTGTCTTTTTTACAAAAAATCTTCCCAGGTTAGCCAACAGCTATGAGATCTCCTGGTATAAAGGGCTAACCAGGACCTATCCTGAATCTAGCCAAGACTAGATAAGTAGTTCCACTGCCTGTCTAAAACTCTGCAGAGTGACCGTGAGCCAGGTTCACGGTATTTATCATGCAAAGCTATTTAAAATAAATAATCAATTCGCCAATAAATCACCATTGGCTGAGTCATAAACCCCTGCTTTCTGCAACTTTCTGCGACTTGCAGAGGGGAGCAAAATGAACGCATGGTTGCATTCTGATGTAATTAATGAGGCTCAGAAGATTCCCATCCATGAGCCAGAAGCTTTTAGCTCCAATGTCATGATGTGAATGAAATACTCTGCATCTGTCTTGAGGGATCTGATTTAATTATCCCATATGGGTCTGAATGTTTAAGAAATGTGAAGCACCGTTGCCCCCTCGTGGTCATTTAATGGGTATTGTCCCTGTTAGTTTCCCAGAGAGAGGAAAAAAAGTATCAGTAGATGTGCACTGTTAGAAAACCTGAAAGACCAGGTTAGGGATAGATCATCATGGAGAAAATCTGTGTGGTCACTAAAGGTCGTAAACAACTTGATGGTGCTTAATCAGATGTGTACAGGGCAGACAATCCATCCTGAGATCTATCTTGCCCTAAGGAGATTCATTGCTCCACCTCCACTTTTCTTTGAGATGGAGGCTAGACCCTTCAACTGTCCCACTCAGCTTCTGCATTTGTGATTGCTCACGTGACCAAGCAAAATAGCTGCCTGGCTGATTAAAATTGGGACTGTCTGCTCTGCTTTGCGGAATTGCTTCAAAGCACCTTTCCAAAGATCTGCACAGCTATCAGAAGTTCCCCCTTTTTTTTTTCAGGAGAGCCCCAAACACTGGACATGTATCTCCAGCTCAGTCCCATTGAAGACAGCTGTTGAGGATTGGAAAGTGGTGTGTCCTTTGCCAAAAAGGTGACAAGAAAGTATTTCAGCCGGAGACAATCCTAAATCAAGTTCACAATTAGAAGAGACCTTAGGGGGTTGTGTGTCTGTAGAAATTGTCCAGTTCCCTCCCCTCCTGCCCCCAGCTGCTTGTAACAGCTGAAATTCACTGTGGATACCCTTTCAGTTTGTGATCAGCAAAGATCCTTTTCTGTACCTACTGATGCAAAGCTGTATCTTCCCCATTATCTTCCTTGCATCTTTGAGATGTCTGTATATCAACACAGAGCTGCTTTCAATGGCTCATTTTTCAGCCCAGAATTTTAACCTATCAAAATCAGTTTTGAGGCTGGATTTTCACTGAGTTTCCTGAGCAGAAATAGGCAATTTCTGTCTGAGTGACTGCTACAGAAATGTAAGATACACCTGTCTTCTGCACTCTGATCTCGGTTATTCAGAGATTGAATAGCATGAGCCTTGTGGGTCTCCAGGCAAGACCTCCATCTAGGATGATAATGAAGCACATGTCTTTCAACTGCATCAGCTAGGGTGACCTCAAAGTTCAGTATTGCTCAGGCCATATTACCATCAAACCAAAAGAATTGTGGGATCTGCTTGATCTAGTAGGGCTATTCTTATGTTCTTCTATTACAGGTTGCCCTATCGAAGGCAAACCACATCTTAACATGATGTAGGAACAAGGAAGACGTTCCTATTTCTATTGTACTGAAACGTATTTCCTTGATTAGCTATGTTGGCAACTAAACTTTCTTCTAACTCTTTCAGCTTAACAGTCCACCTTAATCTAACATAAACCAAGATTTCTTTGGCTCAGTTGTACTATTTCCCAGTCCTCTCTGTATTTCCAAAAAGGATAGTACATATCTTGGTTTCTTGTCAGCCCTAAGGACAGAGTTGTCCACCTGAATCCTATAAAGCATCTCAACTCTTTAATTCAATTGCATTGCCTTTATTTTGCCACAGCCTCCACCAATGACCATAAATCTTTGAGGGCCAAGGAGTCTGTTTAGAAATAATCCAATAGTCCCCATTAAAATATTGGTCATAGCCAGAGTTGCCAAATGGCTGACTCATCATAACCTTGGATGGTGAATTTCCAGCTTCTTTCTCAGCCTTGATGGGCTTAATTCAATCAACCTGAGAAGACCAATTTACTTGCTGCTCTCCAAGAGACAAATATGACTGGCATGACTACATTTTGAGAAGGAGAGTATCTGGGAGTTGCCAGCCAATACAATAAACCTTTCTGTATTTAGTTTCAAAGGTGGGCAGTGTCTCACCTTCAACTCAATTTTGAAAGCAAGGGTGCAGTTCAGACCACTGGAAACAGCAAAGCTGGTTTCCCTGTTTCAGGGAAGTGTGAGGTGTGGAAGTGAACATGAGAAAGATCAGGAGCAGAAGATGTCAAAAAAGGGAATAGGTGTCCTCATCCACTTATGGCCCTTGGCCACATTCCATTGGGATAATTCATTGGGGACTCTATGCTCAACATTTTATCCGTTTTGGGGATAAAAAAGAAGATTTCTTCCACTGTGTTTTTTTGTCTTCTCACTTTCATCCAGAACTTTACTACCCAATGAATCATTCCTCTTGTTGCTTTGATTCCATCACACACACACACACACACACACACACACACAAATCTGAAATGGCTGTATCACTTTCCTACCCATTCTCAATCCCATCTCAAACTGTTCAGCTTAGCTTTGTTCCGACTCTCTTTATTTTACATTAATAACTTGATTCTTTCATACTGATGATTTTTTGCTGTTCACCAGCAAAAGACTTTCAAATCCCCAGAAGGTTCCATCTTTCCTTCTTTTTACTTTGGGTATTTTTAACTGCCTCTCAGAGCTCAGGTCATGCTACATCTTGAATGCCCTTCTCATTCCTTCACAACATCCACGGCTTGAAATGGTCTCTGGGACAATATCCTGATCTCCTCTCTCTATTGGAGGAGTAGATAGTAAGTAGAATTGCTGTATCCAAGTGACTGCAAGATGATGGCAAAGAGGAACAAAACATTTGAACGCTTTGCAGGCATCCACTTTGTGTTTGCATTCCAGGTATAGCGACCCTAGTTATAAGGATTGATTGGTAGTGCTCCAGGTGATTTACAGAAGACCACCTTGACCTTTTTAAATGTTGTGGTGGGAGTGGAAGGAAACTTGGATGGGAAAGCAGAAGTGCATTGAACCCTCTTCCACATTTGTTTTTAAAATGCATGTGTATCTTTGACCTGGGTGGGTCAGAAGGAATGCACAAACAGAGGTTGGGTTTACATGACATAAGTGACCAGGCAAAATGAGGTTGGACCTTTTCTGGG